TTGAAGAGGACATTGTGAGCTTTCCAACGGTATCAAAATCCGGCGGTCTTGATGGTTGGAAGTTGCCGAAAAATCGCTGCAAAACTTGCCCAAAAAATTTGAAAATCCAGTGACCGTTTGTGAAAGAAATTTAAACTTCAGTGACCGTTTCTGCAAGTTGTAAACTTCAGTGACCGTTTTGTGATTTTCAAATAACTTCAGTGACCGTTTGTGAAATTAACCCATTCTTAAAATATAAAATGTCTTGGTAGATATTATTGCAAAAAATGTACCTTATTTTGGTTGAATCCATTATGGTTAAACTAGCTTTGTATATAAAAAGTTTGTTTCCCAAAGGGTGATGTTGGAGTTCTATTAGGGTGATCTATGCAGTTAAAAAGTTATATATAAAAATCTACACAAAGCAGAAATGGTGTTTTAGAATGTACTAGTTGAGTCCAAATAGGTAGCAACATGCATATACGTGAAGTAAGAAATTACCTTAGATTCTCTTAACATCTAAAGCATGGCAAGGCTATCCACAAAATCGATAGATGTGTGCTGGTGACTGAATTCTCCACGATAACAAGCACAGCAAAGGGAATATAGATCCTCGCCCTCTTTTTGACACCGAAAGCAGGAAAAATGCAACCCAGGTAACAACTTTTCACACATATAGCAACAGAGCATACCAACTTCATTTGCATAGCACAAAGCCACAATCTAAGACCTCAGGCTCAAATACATAGTCAGTGTAGAAGTATGGTGAGTGCAGAACTCATAAAAATCCTGGAAACTGACTTTTCCATCCCTGTCTGCATCCAAGGCTCTGAACAGCTTTCTCAACTCACACTTTTCCTCTTCAGAAGCTCTTTCATAGTGTGATTTTGCAATTTCTATCATCTCATCGATCTCTCTCAAGGAGCTAGGGTTTGCAGGATGATGAGAAGACTCTATTTATGGAGAAAAATCAAGAAAAAGAAAAAGATCATTAGTCTATATGGCTCTCTCAACTCCGGGCATCATAAGTGATGCTTCCAAAAGAATATGATTTCAAGCAAATTTTAAGCTGAGCTAAATATGTTCAGTAAATAATTCTATGATCAGCAGATGTCCAGATTTCTAATTCATGTTCAAGTTTCAGGGCATGCCAGATCCAGTCTGACACTACAACAAAAATAGTCTTTTGCAACGTTCAAAAAACGTTGCCAAAAACATTTCGCAACGTTTTTGAGTATGTTGCAAACCTCAATGTTGTCGTAGAGTAGAAAGATACGACAACATTTTTTAAGTGTTGTCATAACCTTTTTGCAACTTTTTTGAACGTTACGAATAACTTTTTTGCAACGTTTTTTGAATATTGTTAATAACATTTTTGCAACATTTTTTTGAACATTGCTAATAATCTTTTGCAACTTTTTTGCCTGTTGTTTATGTTTATATCTTTATTTTTTGCAACATTTTTTGACCATTGTCATACGTTATTTTACAATTTTTTTTTATTTTAAATTTTTTTTATTTGTTCAGTAATTTGTAGAATATCAAACAACTCCAATAATCATTATTAATTGTGCTCCAAAATGTAACAATATTCATACAAAATTTAGATCAAAAATATTGAAGCATCTAAAAATTCAATACATTTCAAAAAAAAAAAAA